TTATGGAAATCTGGAAGGATAGCTGTGATTAAAAATACCTCCATATAGAAAGACAAAAGAAAATTCTACCAAACCTCTTAAATCAAAATCTGGAATTTAAGGAATTATGTAAGGAAACTAAGGTCAAAGATAGTGCATGAGAAATACCTGGTGGCACTGCAAAAATTCACTGTTACTCTGTTTAGAAAACAAGTTTGGTCCAGATTATAATGGCCAGCTATGTTATAAATTAAGTGCTATTTCCTGAAATAATTATTCTCTAGCTTGGAACCTAAAAAGATTATTTACAAGTCTGTATATGTAATTAGGATTCAGCAGTAGATAGATCAAACCCAGTTCATTCCTAACATAGAGACCAGACTATGTCAGTTGTTGTTGTGATGAGCAGGTTTGATCCATTGCCTCAATTTAGCTTGCAAATATTTTTATACTTGCTATCTCATACCAAGTTCAGAGATCCTCTCATGACTCCAGCAGTGTTTGTTTTAAACATGTGTGTTGATTTGAGAGAGGGGAGAATGAATTTCCTAACAGAACATCTACCTACTTGCAGTTTAAAGCAATTTCATGAAAATACAATAACTAAGCACATATATTATCAACACACATATAACAAGGTACATGAGAATTATTAGGGAGAAAAATGTTCTCTGAAAGCACTTTCTAAGAAATCTCATAATTTTGACTCCAATCCACAGTAAATTTCCCCAATGGAAGAAACTTCTTGGATGAGAAGCGAAATGTTTCAAAGAAAAACCCAAAAAAGTCCAATGCCTTTTGAAAAGCACCTTTGGGTTTCCCTGAAATTATTTAAATGGTTTTGTACTTTCAATTAATGTTGGTTCGTTTCTTCCGCATTTTCTTCCACACAATACACAAATTCACACATGAATTTGTTTGCCTCTGTGTTTAAAGTCCCACCTAATTCTAAAGAATACAGAAATGAATTGTTTGGTAAACATAAATGCCTGGTGGCAAGTGATGGCATTAATCAATATGAAACCACTGATGTGAATATAAAAGTTCATTCAATTTTTGAGACCACATAAAGGAATACAATTTCATTAGCCAGAAGATATTTACTGCTGGCTATACTAGAATTTTGACAAGGATAAATGTAAAATAAAATCAAAAGAACAGCTAGAGATAGAAGAATATTCATGTCAATTGTTTTCTTATGTACAGTAATTAGAAAGATTTAAAGTAGATAACTTTTGGTTTTGAATATTGTAAGGCTGAATTTGAAACAGAAATGTGTACAAACACTACATTATAAACATGTTATTGATAAAACATATGAACTTCTATTAAACTTTGAAACAGAAAAAGAACAAATGAAAGAATGTATGACAAAATGGGCTAAACCAGGTATGCCCAACCCATGGCCTGCATGTGGTCCTGGACAACTAGTAATGCAGCACCACAAGAAAATAAAAAATATTTAAAAATAAAGGAAGTCTGTTATTTATATACATTAACTAGATTGCATATTTTATTTGTGATCCCAAAACAATTCATTCAATGCAGTCCAGGAAAGCCAAAAGGTTGGACAACTATGAAGCTAAACATGTTGGTTACAAATGGAACAATGGGAGAATATATGGCTTAAAGAAAATTTTTATAAAATCATGTATTGTTGATAAATGATACTGGAAAAAATGTATAGAATGTATAAAGGTATTATGAATTTATGCTGGAAATATAAATATAAGAAGGGACTTTTTATCATGCAGTGCAAAAAAGCTGGAAACTTTTGGACAATTATATATAATTATAATTATATACAGAAGATTTTAAAGATTAATATGCAGTTGAATTGAATTTTCTTTTGGGACCAATTGATTAATATCTGGAGAAAAACATGGGAGTGTTTTTTATATATGACAACTGCAGCAAAATTATTATATTCACAAAGGTGGAAAGAGTCAATTTTACCCACAATGGAGAAATGGATGGTGAAAATGATGGAACTTGCTGAGGTGGCCAAATAGACAACTTTAATTAGAGACAAAATATTGTTTAAGTTTAATGTTGACTGAAAACTCCTGACTTTTTGGGTGAAACAGAAAAATGAAATTATGAGATGGTTTTCATAATTAGAAAAAAAATTATAGAAAAATGTAATAGAGTAAGATGTTAATATACATTTATAACTTCTGTAAAAGAAAATAATAAAATCATTTTTAATATTTTCTTTCTTTTTCTGCACTTTTGTCTTTGTCTTTTTCTCTTCCTTTATTCTAAACATCAGTTCTTGTTAATTTTTATCTTTTTTCTTAAAAATTTTAATAAAGAAAGATATCTAGAGATATATAGTGCTGTTGGCAATTTAAGCAAGAATAGAGATATAGCTGTTGGTAATAAAAGCAAGAATCAAATTAATGTAGCAGCATGTACCTTAAGCACATAGAGATATATTGGGCAAGCAATATATGACCATCCACATCTCTCTACTGAAATAAGTGAATGTCTAACTGAATATGAACTATTAGATTTAACAATTTATTCTGCATTGCAAGAATCTGTAATTCTTCCTTTAGTTGAAAGTTGTCTTAAAATATGGTAGAATTGTTCAAGTTAACAAACACGTTTAATGGGCACTAAAGATATATGATAAATTATTTTCAAATTAATTTCTTATTCAAAAATGATTTTGTACTTTGTATTGAAAGAAAGCTGTTATTATGATGCTATAATTGTTTAGGATTATTCACATCCCTTTTTTGTCTTGAGAGCTCAATGCAATGATTGTGGTGCTAAGAATATGCAAATTCTTTGTATTTAAAAACGCTGCCTAATTCAAACAAGTATCTATGATGTTGATTAAACGTGCTAAGCAGGGCTTTACATACCACTTTGAACTTGCAATTTGGTGACTACGTAGAAGAGTATTTTTAATATTTTTTTTAAAAATAGCTGAAAACTCTTTGGACTTTTACAGATGTCATCTCCAGGGGTAAATGTCAACATAAAAAATATGCTGCAAGCATTGCCTAGTTTTATGTTAAATCTGTATCCAGTAATTAAGCCAATATCCTTGGGTGTCATATGATTTAAAGCTGGTTTGGGATAAATTTCCTACTTTTGTCTTCAATAAGAGTATTGTTAAAAATTAAATATTGTGATCCACGAGTTGTCTCTTAAATAAAGTAGCAACAAAGGAAAACCAGATGAAGGAAAGAAAACACATGATGAAATCTCTGCCATAAACATCCAATATTTTCCAAGCACGTATAAGGACAGAAATCCAGCATATGGAAGCAATATGGATTTCTATATATGGAATTCTGCACTGCAAACCAATGCTGCTGATCTAGTTGATTATACCCTGCTTCTTTACCCCAATCTCTTGGCATACAATCAGTACCCAATGAATCTTGTTGCACTTGGCACAGCATAAATAATTAAAGCAACAATGACCTCAGTACAAAATAAATAATCATTTATTTTATCATAACTATTGGGGGGGGGGGGGAAGAGTTCTAAAGTTTTGTTTCCCCTTTTCTGTACACTTGTGTCTAGTCCTATGTTAGGCACAATTTTTGGAGACTGTCTGGATAGGTTGAGGTAGTCTTCTTGGCAAAGTATTTTTTCAGAAGTGATTTGCCACTGTCTTCTAGGGCTGAAAAATGACTGGCCCGAAATCTCCCAATTGGCTTTGTATCTAACATAGGACTAGAATTTACTGTCTCCCAATTTCTAGTCTGATGCCTTAACCATTACACCATACTGGATCTTTCTCTGTGCTTATAACATTTCATAAATGCCTCCTCATTGTAACAAACAAATAATTTAAGAAACCAAAGTAACAAAATAATTAAACTAATATAGAGTAAATTCAAGTATTTATTGAAATAAAGAGAGTAATATCATAAAATACTCTGTGTCATAATTGATATTGCCTTCCTAGTTATAAACTGCATAGAAGTTCTTGGATAAGGGGGTAGAGAGAGGATTGTAATCTCAATGACATGTATGAATCAAGACATGAAAAAGATAAACTGTAGTTGCTACAAGGTGTTTATATTGACTTCATCCACCACCACCCCATGTCCTTTTTCTACACCTTATATTTTCCAAAGTGAAAGTAAAACATAATTAATAGACAGAACTATGAAGAAGCCATAAAAAGCAGAATATTTAATTCAGAAAATATGTCATATTCAAATTTAACTGCAATTACACTGATTTATTAGAGTAGTTTCAAAGCAATGTAAGCATTGACAACTCTCTTTGTTTTGTTCTAAGATTATGAATCAAAAGAATCATACTGTATCTACACACAAAAATACATAGGCAGACAAAATCTTTTTAAAAAAAAGATTTACAAAGGAAAACTCACTGCCAAAAAGAGAAAATCAACTGTTGGAAACCACTTGGTTAAAAACAAAAGAAACTTATCCATGAGAGATAAGCTCTTACCTACTCATGCAAATGCCTTTGACAAATCATACCTTACAAAGATGGTCTAAAGCTTGTGCATTTGGTCTCAGAAATGTATGAATTAAGATCGATGTATAGGTTCAGATATAAAGTATTCAATAGGTACCTGTATGTAAGGCATTTTTACTTGAGCATTGTGATTGTGTGTGTGAATATATGCTTCTCTAATCCTTTGCAAGGATATTTTTTCTCTGCCTGGACAAGCTATGCTTCAAACATTCTGCCCATGCCCAGGAAACAGCAACAGTTAGTGGGGATGGGGAGTTTTGCACCTAGCAAGAGCATGCTGTGTTATAGGCCCAAACAAATGTGTTTTCAAGTCACCCTCCAAAGCTGATGGAAAGTGGCAAGATAAGAAAGGCAGCAGGCACTGCCAAAATAAAAACAAAAATCAGCTCTATTTATACAAAACACCCCAAACCTATAATGTATTCAAACAATAAGGGGGGCCTTCACCTTTACCCATTTTTATTCAAAATCATTACAAGACTGCTTTTCATTCTCAGAATCAAATTATGCCTTAAATTGCAAATGAAAAAGAACAAAAATGCAAAATAATCTGCTTAAAATAAAAATTTATTATAATACAAAGCGTATGGGCTCAAAGTACATAAATAACATACAATTTAAATGAAAAATGGGAACACATAACAAATCATTTAAACTGAGGTAAAAATCATAGAAAGTTGATCAAACAAAGTTTAAATACATTGTATTTTTTAATGAAACATTACTTAAGTATGTCAAAGGGCACAGTGGTGAATACAAGATAAATGCTTGACTATGAACAACTAATTCTGCTATGAACACATATGTACTAAACTACTAATTACAGATTAAATACAATAATATTCTGTCAATTTTTGAGGCCTTGCCCTTAATGTTGATTTCTCCTGGAATGTAGTCATTTCTCTGGTGGGTATAATTTAGAAGACTCTAAACTGAAAGATGTAAAATGTTTCAAATCTGAACTCCTCTGAATTCAAAACACCCCATATCAAGTTTGAAATGGACTGTTTTAATAGGAAGTATTTCAAGCTTAAAATGGAGTACTTTAACTTTAAACTCAGACAGGTTTTCTCATTTCAAAAAAACCAGAACTTATTTATCACCATTCCCATCATTGGTCACTTTTAGCCAGGTCATTTACAGTAAGCACTATGAGGACAGAATTTTAGTAACATCAGATGGCCCAATCATTTGCCCATCTTAGTCCAATGTAATGTCCACATTTTATTAATTCTTGGCTGTTTTCTCCCTTTTTAAAATTCCCTCTTACTATATTGTATTGTTAATTTGTTTCCTGGTTTTGGCCTTGGACCATAAATAGCATTTTGATAGTTTGATGCTAAAAATAACCCACCCCTCCAATTACCATGCCTTTTATAACAAGGACTCATAAATTATTTTACCATAGCCAAAATAAAAAACCAAGTTAAAAATTTTATGGGGGCAGCAATATGTCAGTATAAGCTTGATTCTGTTTAAAAGCAGTTTTACTAGTATGAAGACACCATTCAAAATCAACCAATCAGATCAACTTCACCTTTATCAATCTGTCTGGATCACTTGCAATCCAATAACATGATAATCTGGACATTACAGTCATTATAATATGGATACTTTTCTAAGAGCACGAATTGTAGAGATTGATAAATCGTAACTTCTTTAAACGTAATTTAGCACTGCGGTTTTGTTTCCTATATTCCTCAGTGCTTCAAGAGCACATTCTAGTGCTGGTATTGACCAAACTTTCCTCATGTAGATCAAATTTCCAGATGACACAAAATGGCCACCACCCAGGATGAGAGAAGGAGATTGCAAAAGGCTGGAGGACTGGGCTGAAATGAACAAAATACCCTTCAATAGTGAAAAATGTAGGTTATTATATTTGGGGAATAAAAATGCAGAGCATATATATACAATGGGGAAAAATCCCATCAAAAAGGGCTTAGGGATGGTAACTGAAAACAGGATGAACATGAGACAACAATGTGAAACAGTTGTTACTAAGGCCAAGGTATGTCTGGGTATATTAGAAGAAGCACTGTACCCAAGGCACATGACATCCTTAATCTCCTCTACTCTGCAATGGTACGAAACCAATCTGACTACTGTGCACAAATCTGGGCATCCTATTTCCAGGATATTGAGAGGTTCAAACATGTTAAGAGGAGAAAAACAAAAGATACAATGCAAGGAATGGAGGGCATTCCTATTAGGGCAGACTCAAAAAAGAGGATTCTAGATTGCTTTAGGGAAGATGGTCCACTGCCACAAAAATCAGGACTAGATAGAAGTTGCACTTCCAACTGTTATTTAAATGTAAGGGAAAAATTCCTGAAAATAAAATTTGTACAATAATGGAATAGTTTGCCTATGAAGGTTATGAGCTCTTAGTCAGACAGCTCTCGCTCAAGGATCTTGGAGCTGCAACTGTAGAGACTGTACTACAGGATCCTTCTCATCCCTTCCAAATCTATCATGCTATGAATAGAGAAACTTTGCTGCCTCCAAATTACTGGTTTACAATTCCCCCAAACAAAGGCAGCATTACTCATTGTAAGGTATGTTGAAGTTATAATTCAGCAACACCTAAAGGGTTCACAGATTCCCCACTCCTGGGTTAGAACATGCTAATATTATTTTTCTTCCTAGAATTTTTCTGAGATATTTAGTAGTCTAAATAAGAAAAGGCCACCAATGCCATAGCCATGTTGATTTTGTAAAGCCAATAATAATACTGAGTTTGAGTACAAGTTTTCATTTGCAGAAGAAAATATTGTTGAATAAAAGCCTTGTCAGAAAATACAGAAAGAACCTGATATGAGAATAGGTACCATTTATTATATGAGTATATTGAATATTTACTCATATCAAGACTGTTGGTCCATATAACACAGCATTATCTATATTGAGCGTAACTTGTTTTCTGACCAAAATATATCCAGTTTGAACTAGTGGTTAAAGCACCAGGCTGGAAACCAGGGGACTATGAGTGCTAATCCTGGCTTAGGCATTAAAACATAAGGCTGTATGAGCTTGAGCCATTCATTCTCTCTCAGTCCACATTAGGATCAAGTGACAAGCCAGCTGGTCAACTCTGTCATAACCAAATGCATTAATATTCAGTTTATGCAAAAAAAGAAAAAAATCAATCCCTGCATTTGCAGAAAAATGCTAGGAAGTGGTAGGGAGAGAGGGAAATCTCTTTTCTAGCCTATTGAATTTATGATTCTTCCCTCAAATTGTGCTGAAATTAAAGTTTGACACAGTAATTCATATTTTGCTTGGCTGACAGAGGAAACCTATCCTTCAACAGCACAATAGGCTTCTAACAGAGAAGCAACTGTATTAAAATTCTGTCCCATGAAGAGATGGTTAGCATATAAATTTAATAAATAAATTGAGTTTTTTGGCAGTGGATCCTGAGCATATCCATACCTCATCTATAGTTGGGTGCTAATTTTCTAGGGTTGTAGGCTACTGAAATCACAAATGACTGAGTAGTGGAAACTAGACTTTGTACCTGATTTTTGATGCCTAAACAAATCAAACAATCATTCTTTTCAGAAACTGAAGGCTCAATAAAAGTATATTTTTCTAATGCACTACTAGATATACTATACAAAGAAATAGTCTAATATGTATAAAATATTATATTAATGTAAGTTTTTTTAGCTTAGAAAAGTAAAAGGGTGTAAAAAATAAAGAGGGTATAAAAATCAGTGAAATAAAAACTTTATTTCTTCCTTTTTATAATATCAGAAACCAAGATCACCAATCACACAAGGAAGTGATTCCTCACAGAGCACTTGTATCATGGAATTTATTTCTTAAGATATAAGGGTGGTCATAAACTTGTTATGGTTTTAAAAATGAATTAGAAACATTCATGAAGAATGAGGCTATCAGCTGGATGCTAGTCCTAATGGCTATACACTACCTTCTATATCAGAAGTAGCATGACTTACAACATCAACTGCTGGTGGAAAAACAGCAAAAGGATGCCAAGTGGCCATTGAAAAATCAGAATCCTAGAATTAGAATTTCTGTCTAATCCAACATGACTTTCTTACCTTATATAGTATTTTTACACAAGCTTAAATAAGTTTACCAATATGCTTTATATAAAAATTGTGAATTTTTTTGTCAGTGTTGCAAAACAGTACATGAACAGTTAAATTCATTTACATTCAGTTACACTGAAATTAACTGAACTTAATTGGAATAAATGGGATCAAGTTTTTACACTGTTCATGAAAAAGACAAAAGGTAATTTTTAGAATATATTAACAATAAAAAGAAATATCTACTTGTGATCCAGGACTTAAATTTTCCTATATCCTTGGCTCTCATGTTCTTGGTTAACAAATGCATCTTGATTGCATTGCAAGATTTCTCACTTTTACAACACCCCTTAAAATTCCCATTTTACAATTCATTCCTTAAGTATGACACAAGTTTAAATAGCACACATTCAGTTTTGTTTCAAACTGCTTTGTGAAAAAAAATTATTAAAGCAATCAATATAAAATGATTGGTATACCAATTTGGGGTGTCTCAAGTATATTTACAACCCCTGAAGTCAAAATAATAAATCTAAAATCTAGACAAACCAGAGTGTAATCTAGACAAACTGGAGTGTGTTTAAAAATGAATTCAAACTCTCTGAAACTAGAGCCCAGTGCACTAGTTTTGTTCTCCCAGACCTTCCATTCTATACACTACAGTTGTGGAGATGTCCTCGTTTGATTCGGGTGACACTTTTTTCCACACAGTCTCTTTTAATGCAAGTTCGTGCTGAAGACTCTCATAGTCCAGTGGTCCAAAGGAATGCTAATTGTTTAAGCAACATATAGTATGTATTAAATTACCAATGAAATAAAACGTTCTAGCATTATTTTTATTCATCAGTTAGCACTTGCTGGTTCTCAGAGATCTCTCTCAACCTGACATTATTATGTCACACAGTTTTTAATTTCAAACCACAGGAAATAATTTATTTAATTTGGTGAAAGGGAAGAAAGACTCCTTTAACCCACTTCATTCATAACAGGATGCTGATTGTATTAATTAGCCATACAGCAACTTTCATGTTAAAGTAGAATTCCTGAGGTTCTACTAATTACTGAGTTGCTAACAGCACTCCTATAATCCAGCTTTTCCCAGTTTAATTCAAGTCGGACAATTCAGCCTTCCCTCTATCTTAGAAAAAGATGGTTTTCAAACTGCTATGGCAATAATTATTTATGCCAAAGCTTTATCAAAAATGTTAGAGAAATGAGTAAAGGACTGAAACATGTTAACTGTACAAGGCCAACATTCTAAGCTCCAATCTTTTTCACAGCCCAAACTTGACCCAAGGGGCAAAACATAAAAATTGTCAGTGAACTTACAAATTCTACAGTGCAAATGGAATTCCAAAGTCTAAGTAATGACTACTGCTGGTATTTTGAATAGTATTAATGCCATTAAAAACACAGATTTCTTCTCAATGAGGATCAGAGCCATGGTCAGAACAGTAAGCTGACTGACACGTTTGAAAGTTAATACAAGCTCTGTATCTCAAGCAGTACACTTTTAAAAAAATGTTGACAAAGAAGCCTCTCAACAACAAGCAAGAAATTACCCACTGCTACTCTGAGAGTCAAGAACAGTACTGGAGATATTGTCTCATTAATATGTGGATCAAACGTGTTACCAAAATAAAAGTAATCTGTATTAAATATACATTTTTATTGTTCTTGTAAGATCAAAATCTGTAACAAAAAACTTTGTCCCATAATTTTTATAAAATGAAAATATACCACTGAATATGCTAGGTTTACATCATGGTATTTTATCCAGGATGATTTTAAATCCATCTAGAACAGATACATAAACTGTTCTCAGATTTGTTTGAGGATAGTTTAAATATATTACGCTTGGTATATTATATAATGCCAATTATTTCACTAAACTAAACTAAGTTTCAATTAAATGCCACATTATTATTAGACAGGTAGTCTTCAACTTACATTTGAAGTTATGGCAGACCTCCCCAGATCCTACTTATAACCAGGTTTCAAAGTTGCAGCACAATTGCATTTTGGCTGCTTGGCAACTGGCCCACATTCATGGCCATTTGCAGTGTTCTGCAGTCATATGACCACAATTTCTGATTTTTGCCAGAAACTAACATTTGCTTCCAGTTTCCAGCAAAAAAAATGCCCATTGGGTACAATAGATTCACTTAACAGCCATAGCATCTGCTTAATGACCATGGCATTTACTTAACACCTTCCACAAAGAAGGTTGTAAAATTGGGTGCAATCACACAATAGATTCCTTAATGATTGGCATGACTTACAACCATAATTCTGGCTCAATCATGGTTTGTAAGTCGAGGGCTACCTGCAAGTAAGCAAACCAGTAAAAACCAGTGAATAATGTAATATAGCTTAGCATTTCCAGATATGGTCTGAATTGTATCTGAACACTCACAACTCAGAGTATTGATGTAATACATGTCATTGACCAATCCTATTTGGATGTTGTTATGCATGTTACACATTAATTGTATAAAATACTTTCAACTTACTCGTTGATCACCACCTTCTCTCCGAGGATCAAGCTTCTTTGCAAAATGCCTCAGGTTATCATAATTATGAAAGTTGCATAAAGAAACCAGTTCCTGCAATAGTAAAAGCATAATTGTGTTATATTTATACTCATGCATACTATCAAGAGCCGTGGTGGCTCAGTGGTTAGAATGCAGTACTGCAGGCTACTTCTGCTGACTGACTGCAATTTGACAGTTCGATTCTCACCAGCTCAGGGTTGACTCAGCCTTCCATCCTTCCAAGGTCAGTAAAATGAGGACCCAGATTGTTAGGGCCAATATGCTGACTCTGTAAAACTGCTTAGAGAGGGCTGTAAAGCACTGTGAAGCAGTATATAAGCTAAGTGCTATTGCTATTGCTATCATAATTTACAACTGATTGTTTCATTCAGCTACACTCTGATATTACTGATACACATAACTAAGTAAAGTCCTTTGTCACAATGAATAGTAAGCGTCTTATAAATTTAGGGGAACAAAAAGAAAAAAAATATTTTGGCAATCAGGATTGAAAAGAAATGCATGCATTTTGTCAACATTTCTTCTACTTTCAAAATGCACTTTCTATCTTTGCTTAGTGTGTAGCTTGTTGGGGTATGTAATTATCCATCCTTTTGCTTTAAAAATCTTCCATCTTTATCTGCTTTGATCCTAACAATGAAGACATAAGCATTTCTGCTCAAGAAAAATGCAAACCTCCCTACTTCACTGAAATAGGTGTAACATTAATGATTGATGTACTTGTGCTACAGACTAGCAACAATTCAAGTAAGAAGACTTGCTCACATGACAAAAGTGTATCCCCTTAACGCTGTTGCCCATCTTGTCTAGTGGAGGTGACCAGCACATCATGCCCATAACGTTAGGAACAACCAAGAGAATGCCACCAGCAACTCCAGATTTTGCAGGAAGACCCACCTAAATGAATGTACAATTTAAGCTGTTAATATATACCTATTAACATTTAAATGGTATTCACTGAATATCCATATTATCTGTCAAGGTAATAATAGTTTTCCAAAATGTATCAATTAGAGTACATTTAGATCCCAGGAATTATTTAGTTGATACCTCAAAATACATTTGTTTTTCTCGATTCATTTCTGTCATTTGAGTTCTAACTAGCCTATATGGCATGGAATGCCTTTTACCACCCATGGTAAATTTGCTAATTGCTGTTAGCACTGATTTTAATAAGAAGTTAATTCTTTTTTTAAAAGAACAACTAAACATTTTTTTATAACAGATCCCTTTAAATAAACACTTACATGGAAGGCAAACTGTCCCGAGAAGTCATACATGCCACATGAATGCATCAAACTTAAAGTGTTCCGAACTGCTTCAGGACTTAGGACTCTCTCACCAGTGATGGGGCAAAACCCGCCATTGGCAAGGGTGGCTGCCATGACACTAGCAGATTCACATGTCACTTCTATGGAGCACAGCTTAGGAAAAATGAAGACAACAAGAACAAGAAAACGTTGATCAACCTATGCAAACAAAAGGCTATGTAAGTAAATGGATGAAAGAACTACTTTATAAAAGGGAGCCTGAACCCATAAAGAGCCTATTACCCTATGAACAATACAGCATGTGAAGATAGACTGTTTCCAGATTAGGGGAATAAAGGCCTATTTGAGTGAGCATGAAGTGGGCATCTGATGCTAGCAACGTTTTTTAATGAAAGTGATTATCATGGTACAAGATTAACTCATAAAACAACTTGGTAAGATTTTTTTAAAAAAACATGTTCTCTAATCAGTGTAATAGTGCAGCTTGTTGTGATGAAAGACTGACATTTTTAAAAGAAACATTTAAAAGCTACATGATCCTGTTACTGCAGAGATGAACAGTACAAACAATCATGTGACAGAATCAGGACAATTTATATTATTTACTAGTGTGTAAAATTCAAAGCTACCTTACGTTTAACTTAATGAGTGGGGAAAAAATCTCATATTTTAATCAGTAACAAGATTACTGATAAGAAAGTATGTTTTAGTTAACCTAACCAGTGTGAAAGCACTAAGGATATGATTAACTATTTCTTTTCTGAATAGTACTACAAAATTGGCTGCCAAACATATTCCATTCTGATTATAAAAAATATATAATTCTTCGGTCAAGGATTGCAATCAACAATCAAAGAATGAGAAATGCTGATTTATTAAAACATATACAATTGGAAAATCATTTAGTTAACATACTTGCCCCAAACAAAGGATCGGATCCTCTGCTGTGCAAAATTTATATAAATAAAAATTTAACCTATAATTCAATGTATTTCTCTTTTCTTCTTCAAGGATAACAAATATTCTACTTACGAGACCGCCTTCTGCCACCAATAGCCTCCCACCGGCCAGTACGCTCCCACAGAGTGGGCCTCCTCAGGGTGCCGTCCGCCAGACAATGTCGGCTGGCGACCCCCAGGGGGAGAGCCTTCTCTGTGGCGGCGCCCACCCTCTGGAACAACCTCCCCCCAGAGCTACGTACAATAACAGACCTCCGGATTTTTCGTCGGGCCCTAAAAACCCATTTATTTCAACTAGCTGGGCAGGCTTGAGTCAAATTTTAAACGGATTTTAAATTGGAATGTTTTAATTACGGCCAAAATTATTTAATTATTTTAAACAGATTTTAGATTTTGTATGTTTTGTATGTATGTCTTGTTTTTACTTTGGCTGTTCACCGCCCTGAGTCCTACATTGGAGAAGGGCGGTATAGAAATTTAAACAAATAAATAAATAAATAAATAATTAGCTACCTGGAAATAGAAGTCCAATATGCCAACCATATCCGTGCCCTCTGGAAAACACTTGAAAATAATAGAATATTTTAATACATCATGATACAGTAAAGTTATCATATGTAAACTAAAACTGATAAAGAAGATGAAAAAATCTTAGTTCTGAAAATTCAGTTGAGGATGATTTAAGAAAAGAAGAATTATTTAGAATTAAAATAAGACTTAAAATAATAATTATTGAGAAATAAAATAAGACTTCCAGACATTTAAGTCTACCTTAAAATATTTTAGCTCTATTACAAACTATCAATGTGTACTTCTGACAAGTAGTTTAGTAAAAGATTATTACATGCTTTTGGCCAGAGAAGTAGGAGTGGATTACAATATGAAGATACTTCATTTCTTTTCCATCTTTGTCCCATTCCTATTTCCTTGGTCATTAAAACCAGACGGAGAAGGAAGTAAGATGAATACGATGATCTCTCCCCACACCACCACCACCACCACCACACACACGCTACTTCTCGGTAATCCAAATGGGACTAAAACATCTAATGAAGACATAATGTCATTGTGTTAATTTTAAAGTAATATTACATTAACTACTATTAATATAATGAGTAATATTACAAGGATTTCAGTAATTATCTCTATGAAGCTAATGGGAACATCCATCTTTTGTTTCATGCCTGCATATTAAAAAGCATCACCCACAGATTTCTCTTTGTAGATATATGACAAGTTGCTTGCTTGCAATTGTGATGTTTTAAAGAGGTCATCTATTTAGTTGTTTACCAGAAGTCACCAGAACCAGGAAAGTTGGGTAAATTTGCCGGAGAATGCTGATACTTCTGAGGTAGAGTAGTGAGTCAGGCTAGACTTTGGATGCAAGATCTCTCTTGAAGGAATACCCAAAACAAGAGATATTTGCTGAAGCAAAAAGACACAATTTATGTCTATCTGAAAAGGAAAGCTTACTCCCTCAGTACCGGCATTTATAAAGATGTTGCTAAAGATCATAATGCTGAATATAGAGAACCTGCAACCAGGTGCAAAAACAACTCTATGCAGATCCAGAAAGATTGGGAAACACATCGGTTGAAAGCAGACTGAAGGCTTCAGTGCAAGCCATGCTAAGTAACATGATATGCAAGAAGTGGTATACACATCAAATGTTTCTGTTCCACATGAGGCTTTGTACAGGCCACATCAATCCATTTGTGTAAATCACAGAGACCAAAATGGAAGGATAACACTTTCGCTGCATTTTTATTATATCAATATTGTATTTACCTTTACTGTCATGATGAAGAAATAAAATGTTATTTGTAGTTTGTTCAACTGACATTACATACATTTAAGGGAGCGGAGTAAATATAATGGAAAAGCATACCTTTTTCTCTTTCAGATAATAGCCTATTGCAAAGTTTCTGTCTCCACTCTCTCTTTCAGACTGGAATCTAAGGAAGAAAAGGAACAGAAATGGATATCAAAACACTAAATACTTATTAACAATACTATTGGTAAGATATTTTTTTTAAAATTGTTGTTAACTCTAGGAATGTGTGTAGTTTGGGAAGGCACAGACTATTGTTGTGTAGAAATTATCTTAAAAAGAACGAATTACTGCTGTAGCATATTATAAGCCTCAACACAAAGGACATTGCATTCGCTATTCAGTATTAAACTAAATAATTTTTGTAAATAAAGTTACAACTTGGCAATGGAACTAAAATATTGATAATATATCTGTCGTAACTACTTGAGAATACAATAGAAATTATTTAGATGTTAAGTGAAACATAGGAATGCAATGTAGGTCAGAAAGTTAACCATCATCACTCCAATAGACAGAAACTACACAGCAAATTCATACTGCTGTGTTACAAGCTGAGCTGTTACAGACAAGCATGCCTTGTCTGTACTTTCTACAGAGAACTGTGGTTGTTTGAAGGGGGCAACAATGGTGAGGCAAAACTGATGTTTTTATCAAACCTGTAGAAGAGAAATAACCTCTCTTTCTCCTATATCCTCAACTCTTAGTGGAGGAAAGGAGCAAGATTTTTTCTTCCCTTTTCCCTTGGTTTTTGGAAGAGACAGTGCCATATGGTGCAGTATTTCTACAGAAATCCAGCATAAAGGAAAACATTTCTCCTATACCCAAAATCTTAGCTGAAGCAAAGATCTAACTAATAAAATAAAATACCGTATGTATAGCATTAATATTAACTATTGCTCATAGTATCAAAATTAATCTAGGAAACATACTTACGTGGCATTACTGAAACCGACATATTCATTTCCAGCCATTTTATTCATGAACTGCATCACCTAAGGAAAGCATGATTATTTTTTTCAAAATGTACCAAAAAGCACTTCATAAGCACTAAGTATTCAGTGCAAATAACCAAGTTAGATTTAGATATTAAGCTATGCTGTCATTTTATAAGAACAAATGTATTCCACAAGAAAGCAGGAAGAGATTTTCTGCTTTAATATAACTTACTATTTACTGCAATGTCTAAAATAAAATTATAGTTCGTTTAAATAAGAAAATTAGTATTTTTTTATGTTAACTTCAGTTAAAATATTACATACATTTTTAGTCTAGTTGAAATTCAATGACATTCTGCAGTTAGTTTAAAACTGGAGAGCAAATGCTTCTAAATTTCACAGAAGAGAAAAAACACTTGCAAAAATGAGTGAGGCGTGTCTCCAGTGTTGCTACATTATAGTTTATAAATATAAAATATATTTACTATAATATTTTTAAAATATAAAACAGATAATTAAATTGTTTCTTACAATCAGTAGTAGAGTCCAATTCCAATTCAAGTGATTTTGAGTTCAGTTAATAAAAAGATGTGAAGTGAAAATATGGGAAACAGCAACACTCTATTTTGTAAAATTATAGAAAATAAATTGTAACAAAAGGTTTGCTTACATAGTCAAACTTCTCAGCATTATTTACTCCTTGCTGAAAGGAAAGAAGAAACATTTACAAAGTTTATTAATACTAGGGAACTTTAATTATAAACTAATTTGTTTCATTGTTACTTAAATGCTATTATGTATTATTAGACTAGAGTTTTATTTGTTAGTCTATATTCCTAGAGTTAGATTACTGAATTGTTATACAAAGCATTACAATACTTTAACATTGTCTGTTAAAAACGTTACCATGTAAAACAATAGAGCTGAACTTAGTTTTATTTAAAATGTAATTAGTGAATCCATTAATTTTCCATGATTTTTTTTTAAAAAATTGCTGAATTTCAAGCTATTTGTAATTAATACTGTTAATACTGCTTTGTGGAGGTAGCTTTTAAATGCTAGGTAGAACAATTTTAAATGCTAGGTAGAACTAATAAAAAGACAACTGCATTAAAATAAAGTTTGGGTATGGCTAAATGTGCTGATAGGAGCATCTGCATGTGCATGCTTCTCACACTTTAAAAAAAACCTCCATTAGTATCTTTATATTTCAGCCATCAGTGTTAACAAACTGGGATAACAAAAATGCTCATTTTTTTTAGTTCGCAAAACTGAACACTTAAGAGTAGAAAGAATAACACAACGTAATGGATATTTACTGACTGCCAGTTTGGTACCACAGAGACTGGTATACTTAACATACTGCTGTTCTTAAATTCAAAGGATTATATTAAGAAAACATTACAAATTGATTATTGCTATAGTAAACGTGTAAAGTTTAAAATTGTGTGCATATAGGCATGCTTGTGTATTAATGAACCTTGACTGAAGCAAAGAGTCTGCATAAAATATATGCTGGGAGGGAGCAAGCCTTTAACAGAAAGTGGGAAAGGGCTTAAATGCCTACATTGAGGTCAGAAGATCAAAATCTTGTTATATTTGTACCTGGATACTGAAAAGGATACTTCTTCAAGTAAAAAAAATATACCCTAAAGAGCATGTGCAATTTTTTTTCTACATTTGGTATTTTAATTTCAGAAACATTTAGGTTTCCAGATCCAAAATTTCAAAAATAAGTAATATGAAATCATAGCTAAAAGGTTCTATAAAGATGAGACTGAACAAGGCAGATGTGGGGTTTTTTTTAATGAGATTACGGTGACACAGCAAACAAACTTTGTTTATTATTATAAGAATATTCTGGCAGTTTTATCTGTATCCCTAATGTTTAAACTGCTAGATATTTAAACAAGTATTTACTGGAATTGCCATTTTTTTAAAGCAGACAAATTCAAATTTAAAGGCCTCAGCTAAACAATCCACGAAACATTACTTTCACAATGTTAGTTTAAGGGGGGGGAAAAACCTTAAAGCCTGTATGTACCAGCATTCTACTCAATGAAATGTATAAAGCCAGCCTCATTTCCCATTCTACAGTGGATTAGGACCTTGCAGACAATCCGTGAAGCCACAAGCACCAGCTCATCTAGTGATGTACAGTCATTCACGTATGATCACCAGCTGAAAGAATACCATACTATTGTGTCAACATCAATCAAGTTAAAATGCTGCTACCCATAGAGTCAAAGGCTATTTAATATGCTAAAAGATTATGCAATGTGTTGAAAAGCATTAGAAAAACAAACTTTTTTTTTAAAAAAGTGTAACTCCAAATCTGTTCAATGAAAAATAATTAAAAGAAGAAATTACCAACTTCATTGAACTGTTGCAGTTGTCAAAATATTCCATAGATCCTAATGCTGTAAAATATGTAACAACATTTAAACCACAAAAACCTTTTAAATGCACAGTGAATGTTGCTTGGGAAAGTGGGAGGGGGTCGGCATTAGTTATGGGATGCTATACTGATCATTGTTGCATGGTTAAAACAGTTAAACTGAAACAAGTTTTGCATTTCTCCCCTACATCTGACAAAAGGAGAAAGATGCTTAATGCAAGACAGTAGTAACATCTCATCCTCTCCCCGCCCCTCCAAAAAAACAAAACAAAACCAGAATAAAACCCAAAGCTTTCACTATTTTGACACCATTAGCAGAATCAATAAACTAAGCAAGAGTCTGAGCATATAAGCAAAGCAAACTTATTTCAGCATTTATCATATTCAGAATTTTCTTGGCTTTAAGCTCCAGAGTATTTTGATACCCAAGAAAACAATATTTTTTACAATTCCATTAATAAAACTATGAATAAGAATACTTAAACATTTAAATACTGGATTTTTTCCAATAGCATTTAAAATCCATGTTCTTAACAATGTCATTTCATTTGGTCATGACACATTTTTCTTTAAGAAAACATAAAAGTAAAGTCAGCGTTAAAACAAGATACTAAATATTGCAAGTTATTTTTCCACATCCCCGCCTTAACAATATGGAAAATATGTCTTCAGTTTGAAGATGGAATATGAGATAGAACAAAAGCAACTTTTATTTTGAAAGGGCTACTTTTCCAATCTGTTGAGACTTACTTATAAAATTATAAGCAATTAATCTGTCTACAAATGTTCCATGCAATATTTAACTTCACAAACATAATATATACATATATACACTTATAGTGTGCATGCTTGCATGTATATTTATGTGTATATGCACACTATTGCGTATATACAAAATATAAGCCTTGGAACACAAAATATTTTAAGACTGTAACAATCCAATGACACATCACACATGCATATTTTATATAATTATACACATATCAACATTAAATAAGAAGTTGGGATCATATTTTATGTATGCCAAAATTCTACCAGCATGCAATCGAAACTTAAAAATCATAAAATAATTGTATATGTTTCAATTTTAAGATATTAGGTCACTAATATAGACATACCAAACATTAAATTATATTAAGATCTGAGCTTAGAACTGCTGATTTAAGCAATTCATATGATTTGTTTGTGTGGATTTTCTAAATTGTCAACTTATTTTTGAAGAGTTACTTATTCAACAAATTAGTTTTATTATAGTAAAATAGTGTATATCCTACCCTATTTTAAATCACCACTCTAATAAAAAGGCATAATGGAGTTATGTGATACTGGTAGTATTTCAGTATCAGAAGGTTGTCTCAAAAACAGTGTATGAACTGGTGCTTTCCGCAAAAATGACACCAACACTTTATACTATATAAGATGACCTATGTTCAGGATTTGGCTGGAACATTTAAAGCATAGAAATAAGCCTCAAATCCAATTAAAAATGGTTTTGTAGCTATGGGCTAGAACATTTCAATAACACAAGACTACATTGTGTCATTTTTGTACTGCATTTCACCTTTAATACTATAAACACTTTTTTTACATGCATTTAAAATTTGTGTGTCTAAATTTAGGTTGAGTATCACTTCAGCTATGGATCTATTTCCCATTGTTTCTAAATTATTATTTATGACTTGCTATATTTGAACCACAATGATTTGTTCAATGAAGAACAGCTTTAAAACCCCATGTCTTATTATATAATTTATACCATTCCATTTGATTCAATTCTATACAGATGTACTTACGTCTATATAAGAAAATATATAGAGAGAAAATATATAGTGTAAAGCAACAGTCCCTTTATTGGTTGCAAGTACAATGAAAAAGTAATATATTTTAAAGGGAGGGTATACATTAATTCACTACATCAAATATTATTATTAACATAATTTTAAGACAAAAATTATAAAAATGGCAAACCCACTTCCTTATTATCACAAGAAAGCTATATAGATAAGTATATGGAGTCACCATATTTTAAGACTTGACGGAAAGTGTCGAAATTTTTTCTCTAATAGCATCATATATCCCATGATCTTTATAGAGTACTATGTCATATCATACTTGAATACCATTGCAGAACATTGCAAGAAATTATTTTTCTGCCACCATATTTCAGACACTTTGATTTAGTCAACACATTATTCTACAATCTCACTTAGAAAGTGTTGTGTTTAGCAACAGTGGTTTACCTCCAACTGCTCTTTTTAATTACAATATTTGTGTTTAAAGCTAGTGATTATTTCACATTCATTTAAGCTGTATATAGCTAGAGATAACACAGTGAATTCACCAAGAGCACAGAGCACAGAGTTGATTAGGGCACATATATGCAGTGTATAGCTTGGGATTCCACATATGAATTAAGAGGTGAACATCTTAGAAGAATGTTTTTTTCAAACTCAGTTCCATAATACTGTATGGTCCCATGAAAACTTGATGGATTCTATGAGAGACTTAGGGTAAAAGAAGTTAACTTAAGCACAGCCAATCTTCTATCAATACAGCTTTGACTCTTGATCAGAGGTTCTGGAATTTTTTAAGAAAAAAAATTGCATGGCTTTCTAAGGTTTTGCCCATGTGGCAAAGGGGTTATTGAAATGGTTAAACTAAACTATAATATATTACCTGTTTTATCCTGGTACATAGCCAGAGTTCATAACCCCACATTTAAACGTATTTCCTGCTTAAATGGTCATTCCAGAAATTTTATTACAAATTCTCCTTTTGGATACTCCTGACTGTTACCCTAAGTGTAGCTAAATTCTGCTACTTCATATGCAAAATGTACAGATGATTGATTGATAAGCCCAGTTAATTTTACAACTTGTTCTTTTTTATATGCAATCTGCTTTTTTTAATTACTGAAATTTATTTTGTACTAATGTTTGACCACAAGAAAGATAGTTCACAGGTTCCAGAGACTGAAAAGAAAATCTTAAAAGCCCTGTTCAAAAAAATAGGAAATTATATTCTGAGATGGTAGCAATGGGCATAACTCTATGGCCATAACATAACTGTATGCTAAGAAGCCAAGAATAAAAATATTAAATACTCTCAACTTTGTTTACCTAGTAACACAGATAAAGAAAAAAAACTCAACTATATATCAAATATATCAGTGCTGGTTGTCATCTTTAAAGTCATTTATGGCTTTGGACCACATTATCCATGGGACCATTTTTTCCCAGGTGTTTCTTTTCAGCAGAATGGGCATATTCTGGGTACCATTGGCCAGAAAATGACAATTAGCAGGACCAGGACATGAGCCTTTTCTGCCATAGCACCTGGACTATGGAAAATCTCCCTGCAGAGATTACAATGGCCCCAACCCTGCTGGCCCATCAATAAGGCCCTAAAGGCCTGATTCAATGCCCAAGTCTGGGGCCCAGGGCCCAGAGTGTATGAAGGATCCCTTCTTCTGGTTGTGTTAACAATAGTCAATTGTGATATCTTCCTTGGCTGCTGTGCATTTTAATTTTGTATTTATGACAGGAATTCTTTTAAGAATGTTCACCACCCAGAGTCACTTGTTTAGATGGGGAGGGGGAGTGACACAAATTGAATGAATGAATAAATTTATATGTATAAATCGCAACTAAAAGAGAGTTGTAAAGCCAAATCAAAGGAAGGATTCATCTGTAATATTATGGGTAATGTACTCTTAATGCTAGTTAAGATGGCATTCCTTGCCAATATTTGTTTTGTAATTCTATTCAGCAGAAATCCTTAAGAGTAATACTTTTTTCTACCTCACACGTGTTCATCTTCTCTGGACCACCTCATATTGTTTTGTTAACAGTTGTCACAAGGAATGTGAGGCTGCTTATATATTAAACTTTGGAATTCAAATGCCAATATAAAAGTTATGTTCTATGTTATTGAGCTCTTTTATTATCCAAATCTCTTAATTGACTGAAACCATGTACTACCATAACTAACCAATAAATGATACAGAGCATGCAGAACACTAAAAGAATAAGAACATCTTTCCAGATTAAAATCAAAGGCCCATCTAAGTAATCTCTAAAAGATTACTTAGAAAAGAGGGACTTTTATGCCTGTCTCAGCTACAATCCTAAACAGAAGCAATGCTATTGGCACCAATGGGACATCCTCCACATGCCAATTACAATTGGTATTTTGGCTCAAATTGCATTGGAAAAAGGAGGTTTCTGCTGTAGCCTTAATGAGACGTTTAGTACCACTATCCCGGTGATATCATTCACCAGTTATATCATTCACCAAAAGACTGCCAGGCAGCTAGTTGGCAAGCTGCCAGAAAGAAATCTTAAACTCCCTTTTCCAGAATAGTAGCAAGAAACATGTAAGGGAGAAGATGTGTCTCTGCATGTAAGCCTCACTTTAACAGACAAGAATAATGTTATAGAACAGTGGGGGTAACCTGTGGCTCTCCATATCCTGTTAGCCTTGGTCACTATGGAAGTTGATGAAAGCATAATCCAAAAGTGAGAAACCACAAGATTCCTCACCCATGCCCTACATAATGTATTCTTATTTTTTTCTTTAGTAATATTATGGAATACAAATAAAAGAGCCATAGGTGAATATGATTTAGCTATTCATGTTTAAAGTCTTTGTATAACTATTTGGATTGCAATTCAAAATGAATAGAATTAATAGGCCTCGTTTTGCTATTTTTAAATATCAGTTGATTGAAAAAACTATCATGAAATAAAAATAAGTTGCACTAATATGGTAAGAATTAGTATCAAATTTTTGTGCACACCTAAGAATTTCATCTGTATTTGTGACATAGCTAATGGTCGCAGGTTTCTTGCATATCTGTGAATTAAGGGGATTTTCCAACTTTCTAGTGATAAGAATGAAATAAAATATGAAAAGCAGAAGATATAAATAATAGCAGAAGTTCCTGCTAAAAACATGAATACCTTTGGAGATAAACCTAAAATTTATCCCACTGCTTGCAGGGAGGGGGGAGGGGGGAGGAGGTCTTTGCTTTCTGGCACAAGTTCACCTCACCTAATTCTGTTTGCATGTATAACCGCAATTTCAGTGTGAGAAAGGAAATGGTTCTATATGTAGATGGCAGTAAGTAAATTTTATACATGACCATATTTTTTAAACAAATAATTAATTTCGTTTGCAGGAATTTCATTTTCTCCTGTCTAGACCTTTTTTTGGAATAAGCTTTAGGGAGGAAGGGTCACAGAAAATGGACCTTAGGTCGATACAATGAGAAGACACGGTATTGCACAGAATTTATGTATGTGTGTGTATGTGTGCACATACACATACACAGAGTCTACTCTTTCTTTTGGGAAGGATTGGTATAAATTCAGGATTGCCTTTCTTCCAGGTAAATTACTGAATTTCTAGGATTTAATCTTCAATTGAAGATGCAAAATGTACATAACTGTTTACTTGTCCAGTGCATGAACATGACAGAAATACTTTCAGCTAATTAATTAAAAAGAGAAGATTTACAAAGGTGTTTCCTATGAAAATAGACAACTAAGTTCTATAACTTTGTGAGGCCGTTAAAATGTCGCACACATTACAGCACTTCAAAATATATCTAATTTATGAGAGTAAGATTTAAATCAATTTAGGGGAAAGATTAGAAACTTTAATTTTAATTTAATTTCTTGGATTTCCCAATTCATAAAACTATTTTAATAAAATAGCTTCCCAGAAGATGTAACACATAAATGTCTTACAATCACTATAAACAAATAATGATGCAATATGGTGGTTCATGTCTGCTAGACATGCAGATACTACATGCAAAGTTTCAATGCAATCAATACTGACTTGTAACATTGTTGCTGTGTTTTTATATTACGACTGCATGCAGTAAAAAGGAAAACTGCAATATACTGTAATGGCCTGAAACCTAAAGTGGGTTTTTGCCTGCCAATAAAATATGCATTTGATTGGCAATTCATTAATTTTAATAAAATGAATTTCCAAACATGTGTGCACTTCATATGATGTATTGGGTACTGTATAAAAGGCTATTGTGTGAACAAGAAATGCACTGAGCTGTTTGATGAATTATCAACCGCTTATCTTAAAATCTTATTGCCAAGCTGAATTTTAAATTATTTAAACCTCCAGAAAAAAAAATAAGCATGAATAAATTTACCTGTCGAATTTAAGGCCATTTTCCTTCACCTACAGCTATTAAAGATAAATGTTTAAAGCAGGAATTTTTTTTACACAGAAGCAGAAAACCATGAGCCAAAAATGAAATAGCCGTTCATAATTAAAGCTATAAGGATATGATGTAATCAAATATTTAAAATCTCAATTTTGATTTCTCTATTGCAAAATTAAGGAGAAGGGACAATTTTCTTTAAAACTCTTTCTGAGATAGCTTAATGATATATAAATGTATATAAATATATACTTTTAAGGATTAACAATAACTTGCAATTCAAACTATGTATTCTTTAATTGTGGAAATCTGTCTAAAAACTCTACACTGTTAATTATTAAGCCAAACATTTTAAAAATATATTTTTCTAAGGAAAAAAGTATTACTTCCAAAAGTAACAATATTTAATATTAAAGAAATGCCAGGGGATTTAACTTTATATCTGGTGAATGCATAAATTGAAATATAAAATGAATTATTTAATGAAAAAATATTTCTCTCAATGGAAGCATAACTCTAACTCATTCTTAAAATAAATTTACCAAAACGTGAAACTACATATTAAAACTGCTAAAATATTCATAACTTTATCAGTGAGTGGTGTTCTTTATTTAAAAAAACCTCCCAAGTTTGTCTAATACAATATTTTCACATCAAAATATCTCATTCCACAATCTAGAAAGGTATATTTATCTTAATTTTTTTCAAAGAAAGAAACTTTTATCAAACCCAATTTCAAAAGCAGCTTGGGATTTTATTAAAGTGTTTCAAACTGTAAAGTAAAAGGGAAGGAGGTGGGGAAAGAGAAATAGAAACATACCAGCAACATTCCCCCTTAAACATTATCTTGCTCCGTATCCCAAAACTCCTTTTTGAATTTGGGGAGCAACAGGCAGCTGAAAAACAAGCACTGAAAACAATTTCAGAGGCACACAAGTGATAATGACTACATGCTTCTATGGTCTGCAAGAAGCAATATAGGAAAAATTCCCATGTCTATATGTAATCTAATTCTGATTATAATTTCTTACAAACTATTTACAGTGCAGCTGTCAAAAATATTCACTGTACATATTTTACCTTGATCAAAGAGGTGATCACAATTGCTCCAGCATTCACCATAGGATTATGAGGTTTGTCTGTAAAATAATAAAAAAGGATCTAATCACAGGAATGTATCTTCCAATAAATTAAACGAACAAAGCTTCAGCACAAATTAGTCGTACTATTTATGGCTATCTTTTTCATAGTCAGCTGATGCCATATATTCCATCTAAATAAGATGTTGAATACTGATGTTTTCCTTCTTTGCTTAATACTAACCTGATTTCCAATATCGCATGAACTTCTGCCCATTCTTTACATCATCTTCCAGTTTTATTCTATCATTTATATTACTGTATATCCAATCCCAACCTGAAATAGCAACTATGATTGTTCATAACAATTAGTTGGACAACTTCAATCCAATTCAGGTTTTCATAAATATTTCAAATTCATACATTTTTTTCCTTTTAATTTTGTCATTTGGTTAAAATAAGGGAGGTTGTTATCAAACTCAGGTCATGGTAATGGCAACCTAAATCAGGGGTCACCAACCCCTGGTATGTGGACCGTCACTGGTCCATGGCATGCCAGAATCCAGACCACACAAACAAATGAAGCCCCATCTGCAGGATGCAGTAGCACATTAAACCACACACCCTCCAGTCCGCAGAAAAAACTTTCTCCGCAGAACCGGTCCCTGGTGCCCAAAAGTTTGGGGTCACTAACCTAAATCATCTCCACATACTATCCCATATTTTACTAGGTTTTTTTTAAAAAAAAACCTGAAATCACAAATGTGAAGGGAAACACTTAATCCACTTCTCAGATGTACATTTTCTTGCAGATACACTTAAATTTAATAATGCTTCACCTTTAGATAATTAAATATCTACAATTTTTTTTCTCCATTACATTAGGTACTTGCACATGATTATGCAAACACATACGGCCAGGACACTATAGGCTCATTTAAAAGATCAAATGTGGCAATTCTCACCATCCAATTTCTACTAACATTCATCATCTGAAATCAACAATGAAAATTTGCTGTTTGAAAACTCAATCGATTTTCTGATTTATCTTTTACACAAACTCAGTCCAAATAAGGTGGAATGGCTGTTGAGTCAGAGGCCATCTGTACCATCTCTGGCTTTTGTAGAAGCTGTGCTCCCTCAGAAAGAGCAGATGGTGATCATGGCTAGGCTTTTGCATAACTTTGGCTAGTGCGCCAACTACAGCCTTTCATGGTACAAGATATCCCCCTGCTAACTTTTGATTAGATTACTAATCATTATTTGCTGTTCATGAGTCTACCCTTGACAACCATCTGGAAATAGCAGCTCATCCAAAATGCAGTGGCATGAGTGCTCACTGGTTAGTCATAGAACTGCCATGTCAGAGCTCTGCTGCAGAAACTGCACTGGTGAGCAGTAGATTTCCAAATGTAATCCAAAGTGCTGTCACTATTTATATGTGGCTTAGGGCATCTTGGGGATCACTAGTTCTCCAAACTGTTTCTGCCTGTCCCTACCCAGTCAACTAGGGAATGTCTGCTAAGGATCAGTTAAGGTACAATGTGAAGGAGCTTTATTGTACCAATTAGACATGATTCTGTATGCAAAAAAAGAGCTCCTACTGACCTAGAACACAATATCAAGTACAAAACTTATTGTCTTCTAGTTTTCCTATAAAAATGCTGGTAATCAATAGTTAAGATGAGAGCACGTACAAAATGGGTTCAAGGATCCTTGAAAAAAAATATCAAAGGGTTCAAAAATATTTAAAAGGGTTTCAAATGCAGAGAAATTGAGTTTCAGCTGCTTTTAAGATTGCGTTCTTGGTCAGTATTTTGAAAACTAAGGTGACATTTCAATATAGAAATACCAATATACTTTATTTAGTCAATAAAAGAGTATGCATGCTAGTCCGAATGAAATTATGAGCTAGCATGTGGCAGTAATTTTTAGACATAACATTTGAAGCATATGTCTTTTGGAACAGACTGCAAACCTTTGCACACATGGAATCTTGCCAAGGGTGTCACTGTATCCTAGCTTTCAAAAGCTTAGTTAGTTATATGAAACTAATGACTTGGAACTCAAGGCTTGGAACAGTTGTTTATATTCAACAGCTAATGATACCCTTAGAGTAGGTATGGGGTAAAGGAAAAGAAAGAAAATATAGAACTAGTGAATATCTGCCAAGAATACATATACAGTGTTACAAAAAAAAAGAAGTGGCAGATTCATTTTACCAGTATGGGGATATCTCTGGAAGCTAATTCATGAAAATTTCCAGTGTTCCATTAAATCGATACATCGCATATTTCAAAGTATAGGAAAATTCTCTCACACAAAAAGAGAAAGTCATCAGGAAAGGAAGAAAATATTTCTAATACTACACATCCATTAAAAATCCAAAAACATTTCTTGAGCCTTTACAGTATTTACAGAGCATAAATAAAATTGATGTAAAATGCAGGTAGCAACTCATTGAATTAATTTTATTATTAGATCAAATACCTAATATAAGAGTCATTTTAATGTTCTGAATCAGCAGTATTTCCTGTTAAATATACAATGAAATCCACTGCGTGGTGGAACACTGCATAATCTTCCAATGCAGTCTCTTAATTTTATCCTATTAAAATTATAGGAAATACTGTATGCACATTTTTTCACCATCCCATTCAATATACTATTCAGAATTATACTGAACAGAACCAAATGAGATCCCAAATTAACTTTATGAAATAATTGCAGAACAGCAGAACCAGTTTCCAAACAACTACAAAAACATTTACAATGCTTTAATTTGGTACTGTTCTCTGCAGTGGATGAATTAGTGGGGGAAAGTGCTGACAGTAAGATTTTTTTTTTTAAAAATGTGATTTTCTTCACATTAAATACAAATATATTTTTAAGAACATATATGTATAAATAATCACAGGTGTGGCTAGACAGTTCTATTTATCACAATTTTAGTTCCTGGTTTATTTTCTTACTTCAGCTTGCGCAGGCTGGTTTTCGGCACTGCCTTGTGCACAAAGGGATCACACTCTGGAAAAGCCAAACTTCCTGGTTCTGGCCCGCATGCGCACCCAACAATCAGCTGGCCGGCGTGTATGCGCACACCGATTTTTGGCACTGCCGTGTGCGCGAAGGACAGCTGATCATCACCAGAAACCCAGAAGACAAACAGGCAAGGCCACACGTGCCAGGCGTTTGACTTCATGTGCCACTTTGGGCATGCATGCCATAGGTTCGCCATCACGGGTATATACCATACACAATACCCATTGATTTTAGAACAGCAACAACATGACATGCTATGTGGCAATGCATTCTCAAATGCTAGTTCTCAAACGCAAATCTATGTTTGCGTTTCATTTGGAATGATTTATGTCTGCCCCCTCACATGTTATAAAGAAAATAACCTAGCATTCCCAACCATTTGCATTCTGGCCTGGGTTGCTAAGGTGGTAGTTAGGAAATATGACCAGCCACAGACTCCCTCCTTCTTCTGAAACACTGTGTTGTCATAACTGTAACCAATTAATCTGAATGAGAACTGAAATGGGCCATTTGGGGCCACCGAGTCCAAACCCTTGGTGGGTGCTGGAATCTATATTAAACATCTCTGACAAAAGTTCATTTAGCTTCTAGCTGAACACATCCAGCAAAGGAGAACTGACTACTTCTCTGGGTACTAGATTCCACTAGTACCTGCTCAGTAACTGCTCTTACTGTTCAAGATTTTTTTCTAGCATTCAATCAGAATCTTCCCTCCTGTGACCTTCTTTTGTGCAGCATCCTTCCAGCTATTTAAAAATGTTGTCACTCCCTCAAGTCTTCTCTGGTAAATATTAAGCATTCCCCATTGCTTCCATCTCTCCTTATAGGATTTATTTTTAGCCCCCCAATTATCCTTTATAGACCTGTTTCAATTTGCTAAATTCTTCTTAAGGTGTAGACAGCCAATTTGGATAAGATGCCTGAAACCAAGAGATTGTGAAGTTTAGTCCCACCTTAGGCAAAGCCAATCAGGTGATTTTGGACCAATCAATCTCTTTCAGCCCTAGTTAGCAGGCAACGGCAAACCACTTCTGAAATTTCACCAAGAAAACTGCAGAGACTTGTCCTGGTAATGACCAGGAGTCAACAATGACTTGTAAGGCACAAAATAATAGTTTAACGTGTGATGCCCAGACCTACTAACTTCTCTGTCACACAAATCTATTTCACTAGATACCATATTAAGAAATGATAATTGCACACATAACTTACCATCTTCATTGAGGAACAGTTTGTTGAATCTTAATCCACTAGGTTCTTTACCAACATATTTGTGTACATAATCAGTGCCAAGATCATTAACAGCAATAGCATACTTCAAAGGCTTTACACAGGACTGAAGACAAAATGGAACTTTGGTATCTCCAATGGAATGCCTGTAAAATAAATACTATATTATTTATTGCATTCACTCACATTTTTTCTGAGAAATAAAAAATATATATCTTAAGGCAAAGGCTTTGGGAAAAGATTTTACTATGAACCACTGCTATACAAAAGATCACCTAAGAGTCTATTTCATCTTTAATATGGTAGAAAACACATTCTACCATATTAAAAATAAAAGAAAAACCACTTAGCAAATCCTGAACAGTTATTTGAGAGACTTGCAATACTCAGAGTAAACATAAGCAAATAGGTTTAGAAATAAATAAGATATCTTCTTAATATTAAATAGCTACACAAACTAAATGTTCAAGGAATTGATATAACTATCATATGGAAATATTTCAACATCCAAAGTATTTGGATGGTATAAATTGAAAGGCAGGGTATACATTCAGTAATAAAACAAAAAAAAATGTTAGTAAACAGAATAAGGAATTTGTATCATTCAATGGAAGCATGCATAATGTAGAGAAAGGTTATTGTTATTATTTTTATCATATTATCAGAAACTATGGTCATTCAATGAAGCTGAACAGCTTCAGCCAGTAAATGAAAACTATTTTTTTATATATGATCTTATTCTAGTACAATATGAAATTTCTCTCATAAGATACAGCATTTACTTTATAAGAAAGATCAGACAATTCCACGGAGAACCTCAGTGACAACTAGTTATGCTTTCAATAGTTACCAATTATTTATTTGTTTGTTTGCACCATATCCAGAGGGGAAATTGACTGTTGTTTATATTTACTAAGCATGCATGTCAATATTATATGGAGCAGCAAATATCAAAAACATTTTAAATAAATTGTGTAAATAAGATCAAATATAAGCATTATAATTAAAACCTATAGAAAAAATGAATTTCTCCCAATTGTACAAATTATCTACTCAAACTAAAAAGTTTGTGCTATTTCAAATCTTTATGGAAACAAAACTTTGTGGTTTCAAAATGGCAATTCAAGAATTGCATAATATATGTTGAATTGCATAACACTGAGCATTTATATTAGATTCATGTTAATTCCTACTTTAATTTCTCCTTTAAACTTATATATTTGATGCCCTTTTCATTTTCAAGACCTGTTCTGATGAGCCAAGATAACATGCTTAAGGCCTGTGAATCAGGTCATATCTAAAAATATTAAGTGGACAAGATAAATTTTAATTTCTCATAGAAATCTGCCATAACTATTCATTAACAAGTACTTTCTAATACTATTGTATCTCTTATTTTTTAGAATAACATTTTCCAAAGGTAATTATTTGCAACAATCCATTTCTTGCCAAAACTGGATTTTACCTTGTGAAAATGTAGCTTTATACTTTCTAGCCTTGGAGAAACAGGGCATGTCAATAAAATTCAGTAATATCTATAATATCACTAAATCAAGAAGGGGCTCATGGCAATCCATATATGGGTGGGTGAAAAAAGTGAAGAGTTTTGCATGACACCCAGGAATGGATTATAAAACTCTAATTTATATTAACATTGTAACATAGCATGGGTAATTAAATTAGGATTTTTCAATGCACAAAAAGCCTATAATCAGTGATGTTGTTTTGAGGAACAGGGGGTTCCTCAAAAGAATCATAAAAGAATCATTTCAAAAAAGGAACTCTAAACTTCTGAAACATCATCCTATTTTCTACTAAAAATTGGAATGCCCTAAGCAGAACTAAAAATCCTATCTTTTCTCTAGTACCATAAGAAACATACATAGATTAAGCAGAACTATCTTGTATTTGTAATTTAACCCCCCAAAGGGTGTCTCTGCTTCTGTTTCTACAACTGAAATTATTTAATCAGTTCAGATATTTAAGCTACAATACCTCTGCCCATCGACTGTGCAAACAGATACTGCCCATAAGTCAGGACTGAATTTAGCCAGTTGTGGGATATAGTCCGCAACCTATACAAAACAAGTCCAATATAAAAGAATTAGATTATATAGCTACAAATAATAAATACATGAAACCCAGCTAGTAAAAAGCTAGTAAAATAATAAAAGGCACAGACACTTATCTAACCTCTCCCCCAAACTATCCCAAATTTTTAAAAGCAGGATCTACCAAACAAACAAAAACAAAAAGCAGGTTCACTATAGTTTTGTTCTTGTCCACTTTATATAAAAAATGGTAGTTCATAAAAACTATTTTTAAGAATTCACTCAAGGTTAGCTGCACTTTTTCTTTCATAAATGTATCAATGAATAATCTGCAAATGGTCAAATCTCTGGGGTCTCTATTATCAGCACAACTGGGTCTGCCACTCTAGGACTAGTTTTACTGTACACAACATAGTAAGCCATAATGTTGTTAGATACTGGCACTGTCAATATTTGATCCCAACTAGTATATTTTATAAGGCATGATTTATAGTTTAACATTATGTGAATAGACCAAAATAGCTTCCTAAAAGCATAATAAAAATGTAGCATGCTAATTCCAAACCACTCTAAGCACGCATTATCAGTTGCAGAGTTATCATGTAGACAGAAGTTTGCATATTTTCTTTTCTAATCACTTTTGGAAATAGCTTAAAATCTAGCTATTAGATACTTTTGGGTCATCAAATTTTACACCACGGGTAAATTTCCTTAAAATAAGTTTTAAATACAAATTGAAGGACTTATTTTATTTTTCCTGGAATAAACAGCAAAAAGGGTGATTAAAACTTTGATTTGAAAATTACAAATAGACTAAGAGTTCATATAAATTTGAAATAAGATTTTGAAATTAATTATGAAAAATCCTTTTCTTGGGACACTGTTTTTATTTTGAATTCTTTAAAAAATATAGTAAGATAAGACTTAAAAATTGCATACCAAAGGAAACTGGGAGGATTTAATTAAAGAATTAAAAAACTAACTAAAACATTAATTAATTAATTAATTAATTAATTAATTAATTAAAGAACAAGAATCAAACTTGACTAATATGGAATGAAGCAAATATTTTAACTATGGACATATTGAACAATACCGTATTTTCCGACGTATAAGACGACTTTTTAACACATGAAAATCTTCTCAAAAGTCGGGGGTCGTCTTATACGCCGGGTGTCGTTCTCCTGTAACCAGGCAGACCAGCCCGAAAGGCTCTGACGAGCCTTAAATGGCTCTGGCGATCCCAGCTCTGGCGATCCCAGCTGAGTTCCCTGCAACTCAGCAGGGATCGCCAGAAACCATGTAAAAGGAAAAAAAGTTTTTTCCCTTTTACTCTGACGATCCCAGCTCTGACGATCCCAGCTGAGTTCCCTGCAACTCAGCTGGGATGGCCAGAGCCATGTAAAAAAGTTTTCCCCCTCCAGCTTGCTTATCTCAGCTGCTAGTCGCAACTCTTGCCTTGCTTGGCTTGCCTGAATCATCAGGAAGCAACTCCCTGCCTGCAATCAAGCAAGCAGGGAGTTGTGGACTTCAACTCCCAGAATTCCTCAGCCAGCAAAGCAAAGCTGGCTGAGGAATTCTGGGAGTTGAAGTCTACAAGTCTTAAAGTTGCCAAGGTTGGAGACCCCTGTTCTATTGGGTAAGTTTTTTTCCCCTTTGGGAGCTTTAAAAAAAATAGTCAATTGGGGTTTTTTTATTTGTTCTTTTTTAGACCTAGCCATTTAAAGTTTAGGAAGTTTTAAATTTAGCTTTTATATAAAAATAAAAATAAAATAAAATAAAATAATATTTGTGCAGCTTTCTGAGATTTAGTGTGTTTCTGTAGTGTTTCACTTTAACTACACAAACACACAAAATCTCACAAAGCTGTATGTGGAATTTTGTGTGTGTAAAGTGTGAAAGTTGGTTTTTTGGACTTTTTGTGGCTGTGTGAGGTTCCTGCTTGTTGCAGGGGCCATTTTGTCTAGCACAGCTGCTTTTACATTGTGGGTGAGCCAGTTGTGTTGTGTTTGTGTGTTTAAGAGTGTGAAAGTTTTTTGGGGGGGCTTTTTGTGGCTGTGTGAGGTTCCTGCTTGTTGCAGGAGCCATTTTGGGTCTAGCACAGCTGCTTTTACATTGTGGATGAGCCAGTTGTGTTGTGTTGTGTGTGTGTAGAGTATGAAAGTTTTTTAGGGGGCTTTTTGTGGCTGTGTGAGGTTCCTGTTGTTGCAGGGGCCATTTTGGGTCTAGCACAGCTGCTTTTACATTGTAGGTGAGCCAGTTGATGTTTTTTAATTTTTATTTGGTGTGCATTGGAAGAGGGGTAGTCTTATATGGCGAGTATAGCCCAAACCCTATATTTTAACAGGAAAAGTTGGGGGTCGTCTTATACCCCCAGTCGTCTTATACACCGGAAAATACGGTACTTTTGAACAATGGACCTAGAAATTAATCTAGGAGTGTCTGTCTCTATAGTGTTTAAAAATGCTATAGAAGAGAAACATGTATTATCTAACACATTTGAGATTGATTTGAAAGTATATTTTAAAATGATAGGCTACATGAATCTTAAAAATGATTTTAGAAAAGAATCCAGCGGATGTCTTAATAATTAAAAATTATATAAAAATAACAAACTAAGGGAATGACTGGGATAATTTTCCTATATTGCATTGACAAAAGAGATTTGTTAAAGTTTTGAGGAATCTTGTGAGAAAGGACAAAGAAAAAAAGAAATCAAGATCTATGTCATTATTTGAATGGACTAAAATTGTTAGAAATAAAATGAAAGAATAGAAAATTGATTCATTAGATCTAAACTAAAATGGATATGTTGTTATCTTAATGGACTTTGGTGACATAAGGACTGAAATGACAAAGTTACCATTTTTTTCGGAGTATAAGATGCTTCAGAGTATAAGATGCACCTTAGTTTTGGGGGAAGAAAATAAGAAAATAAAAATTCTGCCTCTGCCTACCAGCATCCATCTGGCTAGCGTCCTTAGCAAACAGCCTGGTCAGCTTCAATACATTAGCCTGATTCAGCATGAGCAGCTGATTGGCGGGTGGATTGCCTCCTGGAATACCCCCAATCAGCTGTTCCCAGAGGTGAACTTTAGCAACAAGTTTGATGATTGTGAGCATGCACGGGCCTTGTTGGGGCAGATACACAGCTTCAAAAATGCAGCTGATCGTCTCAGGGCACTCCAGTGAGTACAGCAGGGGAAGCGCAGAACTGGTCCAACAAGGCAGCAGCTGTTCTGGGTTGCCATTTTGGCCTCTGCGCCTTGTTTTTTCACCCTCCAAAAGCTCCGTTTGAGAGCCTACCTTTGCAAAGAAAAGCTCCTTTGCAAACGGACTTTTTGGAGGCTGTTTGAGAGGCTCTTTGTTTGAGAGGCTCCAAAAGATCCGTTTGAGAGGATGTGCAGAGGCCGGAGGGTGGGGGCCTGAGGGTGGGCGGCAGTGGTGGGTTGCTACGGGTTCGCACCAGTTCGGGAGGACCAGTAGCGATAAATTGGCGAGGGTCACAGAACCGGTATTAATTGCTGGCTGGCCACGCCCCCGAACCAGTCCCCACCCCACCCAGTCACTTCCTTTTCCTCCTTACCACCCGAGCGGCTTGCCTGCCTAAGCTGCCTTTCCACGTGGTACCTGCCCTGCGCCCCAACTGAGCTGCCGCCTCCTGCCTATAGGTAAGACGTGCTACTCCCCCCAGAGCATGCTGCGCCACCAACAGGGTCACGACCTTACCTTCCCCGCCCCTTACAGGAGTCTCCCCCGGACCCCGTTTTGGCTCCCAGGGGCTACAGGGAGGCTTGCTAAGGCCAAAATGGAGCATGGAGGGGTGCAGCGCCCCCCCTCCCACACCCTGTTTTGGCTCCCAGGGGCTGCAGGGAGGCTTGCTAAGGCCAAAATGGGGCATGAGGGGGGTGCCCAGCAAGACTCCCTGCAGCCCCCTGGAAGCAAAAACAGGCTCCTTCTTTCAAAGGAGAAAGAAACAAAAAAATCCTCACTGTTTAGGGAGATCCCCAGGTGCACTGAGCTTGAGTTGAGAGTTTATTGTAAGTCCTGCACTAGCTATCTTTGCTCAGGCTAAGCTACAAAATGTTTTTCCTCACTGTTTGGGGATCCCCATGTGCACTGAGCTTGAGTTGAGAGCTTATTGTAAATGCCTGCACTAGCTAATCCTTGCTCAGGCTAAACTACAAAACTTTCAAAACGTGGCTTTTCTTCCTCCTACCAAAGACCTTCTGGGGTTGTTCACAGGAAGGGAGAAAGGAGAAAGGGAGGGAGAAAGAAAGAAAGAAAGAAAGAGAGGGGGGAGGGAGGGAAGGGTAAACCCTTTTACTCACACTTCATCCTCACTGTTTGGGGATCCCCACGTGCACTGAGCTTGAGTTGAGAGCTTATTGTTAAGTGGCTGCTAGCTATCCTTGCTCAGGCTAAGCTAATCAATAGTGGAGCTCTAAGAATGCCAGATTATCAATGGGCATGTTCTGAGTTTCAAAACGTCTGGCTTTTCTTCCTCCTACCAAAGACCTTCTGGGGTTTTTCACAGAAAGGGAGAAAAGAGAAAGGGAGGGAGAAAGAAAGAAAGAAAGAAAGAAAGAAAGAAAGAAAGAAAGAAAGAGAGAGAGAGAGAGAGAGAGAGAGAGAGAGAGAGAGAGAGAGAGAGAGAGAGAGACAAAGAAAGAAAGAGAAAGAAAAAGAAAAAGGAAGGGAGAGAGAGAATGCAGGTATCTCTTAACAGAGGCTTGAACTTGCCTGAAATTAGATCAAGCCCTACCTCACTTAATCTAATGTATCAGATTAAATTGTTATTGAATTATTTTTGGTATATATACTACATTCTCTTGTGTAATTTAGTTATAGTGTAAAACTAGTCTATTTTGTCTCAAAATAAAAGGGAGATCAAAAATCCAATTAGTGCCATGTAAATTCTGGAATCCCCAAAAACCTTTCCCATTGTATTTATTAAACAAGTTTATATAGCTACCCAACTCATATACAGTGACTTCATCACTTTCGTGTTCCTTTCATGTAGT